TACTATTATTTTGGTGAAAGGCATATGGCTGAGTTTTAATAAAACTCCTCAGATTTTGTATAGTGAGATTGTCTTCAGCAAACAAGATTTGTATTATTATTGGGGTTCTTTTATTTTTGTTCTAGGTGTTATTGGGACGTTTTTTTTCATGGTTGGAAACAAGATGTTCCTGATGTTGGAGCTCACAGAGAAGGGTATTATGATAGTCTACTTACTTCTGAAGGTGCATTAGAAGATAGTGGATGTCCAGATTCTTTGGCTTCAGAAAGGTGGTGATAAAAATCCTGAAGTATTGTCAGCATTTTCGTCTTAAAATAGAGGGCAAATAAAGAAGGTACACAGTCGTGTTCATTGTCATGGAAAATTATTATCCTTTTTGTTATCCTGAGTAGTTGTTGTTGGATGTTATTTCTCTCTTTGAAAAACATCTGATGTAAATTTGTTGTACTCCAACTCACAAACCCTACTACTAGACCCAAAACCTACTACTAAATGGTTCCAAAAAATTGCATGTTATTGTAGAAGTCTTGATCAACATTCTCGTGTTACTGTGATGTAGTAGACAAAATTTTATGCTTGGACATTTTTAACTTTTCTTATAGCAACTATTGCTCTGAAATTGTTGGTCTCTTACTTCTATTGACAGCAGAAGAGAACACATATGGGTACACCCACCTGGATAGTTTGTTCTACGTTTATCTTACTTTGGAGTTGCAGACCCTAAGATATCAAGATAGCTCATTTACATAGTATATTAAATCTCTTGATGGTATAACATGACATTGGCAGGAATTATTGATGACTACTTTGATGGGTACTTTTCTGAAGAAATGATTGTCCCAGGTACTGTGATGCTCGCAGTTCTATCTTTCAATGCTTGCATATGCCATTGTGATACAAGAGTACTACCAGATTTTGCAATGTTCGTGATTCAGATTGACCATGATTGATACTGTTGTTTAAGATCATAAAATTTGTCATGGTTGATTAAATAGGAACAGTTGATTTTAGTCGCAGACCCTAAGATATCAAGAAAGCACTGCTACAAATTTAGAACTAGGATGTAGTTTTTCATAGTTCCTGTCAAGTATGCTTATTTGCAATCTAGGATCACAATTGTAAAGGTTAATCCTTTTAGTTGTGTAGCATTGCAGATCTCGGCTCTTGAAAATTTTCCTACCATACCAACACATTAGGTAGGATTTGCCTTATTTTGTAATGAGCAAACAAAAATGTTGTTAATATAACAAATAATTATGCGCAGTAGTACATGGTTGGAAATTCCTTTCTTGTTCAATGCATATTAGACTGAAATTTGTACTCTTTGGTCTGCATTCACAATCAACATGGGGTGCTGAAGTAGTGTAAATTGTTTGAAGTTGCTTATTGGCCAGTATATATAAGGTTGGAGTACTGTACTGTTTGGTCAGCCGTTTTGGTATGTATCGTTGAATCGACACCCATTAAGCTCTTTTTGGTTTCTATTATCTGTGAGCACATATGAACATCGATGAAAACTATTCTGGGATGAAACGTGAGCATGCCTTGGTGTACATATGAAGGAACTGATTTTTTCAGCATCCAGGGGAAATTTTCCTGTTTTGATTTTACAATTTTGATTCTTTCCTTCATCTGTTGATGGTAAAAATTAACACACGTAGTTGTATACATATTTTGAAAATCGGAAGCGGTTTTAACATTTCACATGATATTGTAGTTTACGGTACTAATCTTGACGCTGCTCGGTGTGCTGTTGTTCTTCGTCGGCGTGGAGCTAGCCGTCGCCGCTATGGTACATGTACCCGTTGCCTCCGCTTGACGTAGTTCGCGATGGACATAGACATGGGAACGTCGCGACGGAGATCCCCCACTCCAACCCACGACTCAGGGGTGACTGGCGGTCGGCCAGTGACCGAGCTCAAAATCCGGTTCAGTGTCAATGGTGGGTTGTGCTCCAGTGCGAGGGGTGGTGGCACTTTGAGGAGGAAACAGGTGCGTGCCTTTGTCAGTTGGTTTTTGTACTTCTACTTTTCACTTTCAGAATCAATCGTGATTCCATGGTGAGTCATTACCAACCAAATTATGGGGAGTTCTGCTCTAGGCAGCAGATCGGGAAGGAACAAACCCCGTCTCTCTGGTGCTCCAGTAGTAGATATTGCTGAAATAGCTAAAGGATTTAGTTGTAACACTTGCTCTGAACTTTACTCAACAAGCAAGTTTTCCAAATATTGAAGTCGAATTTTTTCAGGGTTCATATACATATACACAAATAGTGGGAAATTAATGGCCCTTAGATATTGTTGTGCTCTTCTGAAAAGCGGGTCTGTATACAACATATAGTGGATATGTGTGTGTGTGTCTATATATATATATATATATATATATATATATATATATATATATATATATATATATATATATATATATATATATATATAT